TTTTTTTTTTTTTTTAGAGACAGAGTCTCACTCTAGTGCCCCAGCTAAAGTGCTATGGCATCACCATAGCTCACTACAACCTCACATCCCTGGGCTCAAGCAATCCTCCTGCCTCACCTTCTCAAGTAGCTGGGACTGCAGGTGCCCACCACCGTGCCCAGTTAATTATTCTGTTTTTAGTAGAGACAGAGTTTCGATCTTGCTCAGGCTGGTTTCAAACTCCTGAGCTCAAGTGATCCTCCTGTTTTGGCCTCCCAGAATGCTAGGATTATAGGCGTGAGCCACTGGCACCCAGCCTTTTTTCTTTTCTTTTCTCTCTCCCTTTCTTTCTTTCTTTTCTTTTTCTTTTTTTGTAGAGACAGAGTCTCACTTCATTGCCCTCAGTAGAGTGCTGTGGCATTACACGGCTCACAGCAACCTCCAACTCCTGGACCTAGGTGATTGTCTTGCCTCAGCCTCCTGAGTAGCTGGGACTATAGGCACCCGCTACAATGCCCAGCTATTTTTTTTTTGTTGTTGTTGTTGCAGTTTGGCCAGGGCCAAGTTTGAACTCACCACCCTCGGTATATGGGGCCAGTGCCCTACCCACTGGGCCACAGGCACCACCCTTCTTTTTTTTGAGACAAAGTCTCACTCAGTTACCTTGGGTAGAGTGCTATGGCATCATAGCTCAAAGCAACCATAAACTCTTGGGCTCAAGCAATCCTCAGCCTCCCCAGTAGCTGGGACAAAAGGCACCTGCCACAATGTCCAGCTAGTTTCTTTCTTTCTTTTTTTTTTTTTTGTAGAGACAGAGTCTCACTTTCTCACCCTCAGTAGAGTGCTGCAGCATCACACAGCTCACAGCAACCTCCAACTCCTGGGCTTAGGAGATTCTCTTGCCTCAGCCTCCCAGTAGCTGGGACTACAGGCGCCCACCACGATGCCTGGCTAACGGCTAGTTTCTTTTTATATTTTTGAGTCATGGTCTCACATTGTTACCAGGTTAGAGTGAAGTGACTTCATCATTAGCTCACTGCCACCTTGAACTCCTGCGCTCAAGTGACCCTCCCACTTCAGCCTCCTGAGGGCTAGGACTATAGGTATATGCTACATGCCCAGCTAATTTTTCTATTTTTATTTAATTAATTAATTAATTTATTTTTGCAGTTTTTGGCCAGGCCTGGGTTTGAACCTACCACCTCCAGCATATGGAGCCGGCACCCTACTCCTTTGAGCCACAGGCACCGCCCTGATTTTTCTATTTTTAGTAGAGATGGGGTCTTGCTTTTGGCTAGGCTGGCTGGCTGTTAATGGGCCCATATCTCCCTTGTTTCTTGAAAACAAGGACTCATTTGACTCACTATATCCTTAGGATCAGCACAGTATACATGCTTGGTATGTATTTGTTTGCTAAACTATCAAATTAAGCCCTGTATCCTAACAACCAGGTTCCCAGGGTTTGCAAAGTACTTTCACATCCACCATCTCCTCTGGCCTCCCTACGAACTTGGGGAACAGGGGGCTGTCAACTGAACTGACAAAGGAGAAAATGGGCTGAGGGAGGCGCCTGTGGCTCAAAGGAGTAGGGCAGTGGCCCCATATGCCGGAGGTGGAGGGTTCAAACCCAGCCCCGGCCAAAAACTGCAAAATAAATAAATTAATTAAATAAAATAATTTAAAAAAAGAAAGAAAGAAATAAAATGGGCGGAAAGCGGGCTAGCAACTTGTCTAAAATCACAGCAGTCCCAGTATGGAGCAGGGTCATATTCCAGCCCTGCTCTGCCCTTCTGCCACCCACTCTCCCACACACCAGGGTCCCTGACCTGGGAATGATGCGCTGGGTGAGGCGGTTGGTGGGGATGGAGAGAGGAACCTGTTGCTGTAGTCTCCGCTGCTCAAACAGGCCTGGGAGATCATGGGCCCAGATGTGTGTGGATTTCCCTGCCAGTGGGGGAGAGAGCAAGGGCTCCATGGTGCTGGTGCTGAGAAGCTGTGGGTGCTGTGGGCCCGCCTCCCTGACAGTCCCACATTGTACCTGAGAGTGACAGCAGCACATTGTTCACGCAGTAGAGCCAGGAGCAGCGGTGTGAAATCAGCTGGAGGCAACAGGGGCACAGGTGGACTAGCAGTCAGCACCTGGGCCCCTAGAGGCCCTCTACCCACCACAGTCAGTGGGCCTCACCTTCTCCAGTGTATCCTCATGCAGTTCATGCAGGTTCAGGGTATAGATGCCTTCATCAGCCCCTACTACCAGGAACTGGTCTGCAAGTTTGGGCATGGGTCAGTAATCAGTCATGTGCCCTGGCCCAAGCTGAGTGATTCCAGGGTCCTGCTCCCTCCCTGACCCAGCCTACCCCGAGTAACAGGGTGAACCCAGGTGACAGCAGCATGGATCCGTAAGGGGCAGCCATTGAAGACCTTGGAGAAGCAGGCACCCATCTGTGGAGAAGTGAGGAGCTAGAAGGGCACATGGGGTGGGATGGGGGAGGGGTGGGGGCAGTGGAGTCGTGGGCAAACACTTACATGCACCTTGGGGGTTGGGGGCAGCCCATGGCAGGATGACCTCTGGAAGAGAAGGAAGGGGTCAGGGCTGGGTGAGACCCCTGCCACCAATCTCCCACCCCTTCAAGGCAACCCTCACCTCAGGATCCTCCTGCTGCTTCATGGTGGCCCAGGCAGTGGGCAACAGTGGTGGGCTGTCAGGGCTTGGTGGAGGTGGGGGCAGTGTTCCTGCAGGCACAGAGCTGCTGTGATTCCCTACCCAGCCCCTACACTGGGCCTACCTGACCTTTCAAGCCTGGAACTCACCTGAGGGACTGGATAGAGGGTCCTCAGCTGGAGGCTCAGAGGGGGGCTGCCCCAAGAATGGGGCTCGCTTGATGGTTCCCATGGCATCATCTGGGGAGTCTAGCTCCTGGCAGGAGGGTTGGGGGAGCAGCCTGGCTGTTAGCAGGTATCTGTGTTACCTGTTCCACCCCAAACACACCCTCTGTAGGGGGCTCCCCAAGCCCAGCTCCAGCTCCTCTCCATGCTGTACCTGGAGTTCTGAGGCTGGCCGGATGGTTAGGCTCCTATAAAGGACAGACCAGAGGGACCCAAGGTGTGAGATGTGACTGGCACCCAGGCTGGAGACCTCTTGCCCTCCCCTGGTCCCAGCCACTTACCTTTCCTCCAGGGCCTCCTGCACTGACTGCAGCAGACTCCTGGGCAGAGGCACAAAAGGGTGAGAGGTCAGCTTTTCTGTTGCCCCCAACCCCTCCCTGCATCTTCCCTCCCCCTCACTTACCCACTCAGCTCCTCCTTCCCCAGCAGCGTCCACTCTTCCTCCCACTGGGGGAATCCACAGCAGACAGAGAGAGGCAGAAAGAAAGGGGGGCTATGTGAAAGGGTGGTCAAGATTCAGGGAAGAGTAAGGACACACACCAGTTAGCTGGTGACAGGCAAGAGATTTGGGAGAGACAGTGAGAGGCAGAGAAACCAAGAGATTGTAAAAAAAAAAAAAAAAACAGCAAACAGATAACAGTGAGGAAGAAAATGGCAGACAGCAAGCAAGGCAAGGAAAGAGAAAGACAGATTGTGGGAGCAAGAGGAACTTAGCCCAGGAAGCAACCCCTAGCTTTCTGGGTCCCTAGGTGGGATAGGCCTGCTTGGAGAGCACCCATGGCCCAGGCAGCCCCTGCTTCAAAGCTCCCTTGATCTGAGGTACCCACAGCCCCACCAGAGTGCCCACCCTGTACACCACCTTGCCCACAAAGCCTGCACCCTTACTGGTTCATTTAGTGGGTCTGTTTCCTTCCGGCGCGGGGCACCAAATTTCACCTGGTGAACTGGGAAGCCCAGAGTATAAGGGTTAGGGGGCTGGAATGTCAGGATCAACCCCCACTCTCACACCAAATCCACACACACAGCCCTGACCACAGACTCACACTGGATCTCTGAGGGGGTCCTCTCAGCTGGGCCATGATGACCCCGGGAGTGAATGGTGTCTGGAAACATGTCATAAGTCTAAGAAAAAATAAAAACAGTGGGCAACCACCTGACACTCACCTCATGCTGAATATCATGCTAGGTGCTTCGAACATAGCAATGTGTTGATTTCATGACAACCCTGTGAGATTATTGTAAGATAAAATGGCACCATATTTTTTCAGGTAATAAAATAGGCATAGTGAGGTAAAATAACTTCTGAGAGATCACACAGAAAAAGCAAGAAGATGGCTCGGCGCCTATAGCTCAACTGGCTAAGGCGCCAGCCACGTACACCTAAGGTGGCGGGTTCGAATCCCCAGCCCGGACCCGCCAAACAACAATGATGGCTGCAACCAAAAAATAGCCAGGCGTTGTGGCGGGCGCCTGTGGTCCCAGCTACTTGGGAGGCGGAGGCAGGAGACTCGCTGGAGCCCGGGAGTTGGAGGTTGCTGTGAGCTGTAACGCCACGGCACTCTACCCAGGGGGACAGCTTGAGGCTCTGTCTCAAAAAAAAAAAAAAAAAAAGAAAAAGCAAGAAGATAGGGGCAGTGCCTGTGGCTCAAAGGAGCAGGGCACCGGCCCCATATACCATAGGTGGTGGGTTCAAACCTGGCCCTGGCCAAAAACTGCAAAAAAAAAAAAAGCCAGAAGATAGCTGGGTCATGGTCATGGTCAGCATGGGCCCAAATGCAGGAACCCATCAGGGTTCTTAAGTGTTACAGGGAGGCAAAATCCAGCTCAGGAAAGATTCCTTATGATGGAAGCCCCCTGTGTAGGTATTGTACAGGTTAAAGGGACATTGACTAACATCACTTTTGGGTCATTCCAACTAGGCCCAGCCAAGACCCATTTCCCAGGCTCCACTTACCTCCAGCTCACAGTCTTCAGGTGAGAGGGCTCCTAGGTGGGGGTCATTGGCCTTGTCCAGCAGCTGTGTGAGGAGGGCCCGAGGGAGCTGCTGGGTTGTGAATGGGTGCTGGAGGATGGGGGGAGAGTGATCAGGTTAGTCCTTGTCCACTGGGCCCCTGTCTTTGAACACTGAGCCCCCTCCCCCACCTCCCACCTGCAGAAGCTTCTCTGCTGTTGGTCTCTTCTTGGGATTTTTGGTCAGGGCCAGCTTGAGGAAATGGTGGAAATTCTGGGTCCTAGTGGGCACAAGAGCCCCCCCCCCCAATTCCCAGACTCAGATTAGTCCTTGTGCACAGCATCCCACCATCTGCCCCATCCCACCTCCAGAAGAGGTTGCTGGGCCCACACAGGAAGCAGCCCTCAGAGGCCAAGGACAGCCAGCCGGAGTAATGCAGTGTTGCAACACAGCAGCTCCTCTGTCATCAACCTTCTGCCCTTCCTTCTTATCCACACTGGATCTGCAGCCCAGAGGGCCACCAGACCCCTGACTTAAATGGTCTATAGAGCCCCAGAGGGGGCTCATGAGGCTACACCCTGGGAGTCAGCGGAAGACTCTTCTTCCCCCATGGGGCCTGGCTGGAAAGGGGGGTGGCTCAGTAGGGGGATGTGGGTCCTCACCAGTGAGTCTTGTCTCTCAGCTTGGGTGGCTGGAAGCTGCTCTTTGACATGAGCATCAGGGCCCTATGGAGGGTGCAAGGTCAGAGGCCAAAGTCTGAAGCACAGGGTCAGGTGAGGGATAAGTGCTAAGCTAACCTCATGGGGTGCAGGTGGAATAGAGGGGGCTGCAGCTCTCCCAACTCAATGGCAGTGATGCCCAGGGCCCAGACGTCACACAGCTCATTGTAACCACCTTTGCGCTCCACAGCAGCCACCTCTGGAGCCATCCTAGAGATAGGGTGACAGACAGGATGGCCAGGTGCCCCATCTAAGGCCCTTTGCCCCCTCTGCCCAAACCACAGCCTCACCAGTAAGGTGTCCCAATAAAAGACCTCCTCTTGGCCACAGATGCTGTCAATTCGCCTGATACCCCAAAGTCAGCTGCAGGGAGAAATAGTCTCTCACCAGCCCTCTGGCTGTCACTTGCGATCCCACTTCCAAGGCTTAGGCTCAGGATGCACCTGGTAGCGCTCAGATGGCAGATGGCCCAGGTTCAGCCACAGCTGCCACAGGCCCAAGACAAGGCTATCTCCCTCTCCAACGAAGGGTCAACCACCCACTACCCCGACCAAGAGCCTGGTCCTATGTCAGACTCTAGACAGACCCAACCTCATCCAACCTCTAGCAGGAAGGGAGCACCGTTCCATTTTCTGAATGGAGAAACTGAGATTCAAGTGACAAAGTGACTTGGCCAAGGACACCCAGCACTGGAGTCCAGGTTCTCTCTTAGACTCCCAGAACTCCCACCCTGACTGTGTCCCCAGGGTACTGACCCAGCTTGACATCTCCCTGAAGAGTGAGGAGAAGGTTGGCTCCCTGTGGGAATGGAGGAGAGAGAATCCCATCTGGTGCCCCGAGAGCCTCCTCCTCCCTCCCATGATGCCCTTGGCCAGACCCCTACCTTGATGTCTCTGTGGATTTTCCCCTGAGAATGCAAGTGGTGTAGCCCCTAGGGACAAAGAGGAATCCCTGAAAAGTTACCCAGCACTATCAACTGCCTCCTGAGCCCCCTCTCAGGACTGGGGCCCCCCACCCAAGCTGCTTCCTCCTCCCCTCTCCCCAAACAGGAAGTAACTGAGCCAAGAGGGAAATGGGCTGCTTCCGGCAACAGGGCTGGGGCCCCTTCCCCGCAGGACCCACAGCCCCCTCGGGCCAGCCCTGCCTGAGCCACTCTACCCCCCCATCCCCACTGTTGAACTGGGCTCTTGGACCACAGCTCCTAGGGACCGGGGAGGTGGTGAGTGCCTTATGAGCCCAGCTACCTTCAGTGCTTCTCGACAGACATAGGCAATCTGCCGTTCCTCCAGGGGGCCAGTGGCTGAAAAGGAAAAGGTGAGGACTCGAAGAGGGGCCAGAGGATATGCTGCCCCTCCCAGGCTACCCTGCGTGGGGGAAGCAATGGACACTGCTAAGTGAAAAGGGTGTTGGCTGAATTCTCTCCTAGCATAGTCTGGGATACTGAGCCCAGAGATGGACAGTATTTCTCTCAAGGTCACACAGCCAGTCAAGAGTGCAGAAGAACCCAAGTCCAGGACCCAGACTCTCCTCTCCTACCCCTGCATCAGGGTGGGGACTGATGAGGGGAAGGCCATGACCCTCTGGGGCCTGGAGTCCTGGCCCTCACCGTGGTAAATCTCCTGCAGGGACCCTCCTCCGCAGAACTCCATGCAGATCCACAGGCGGTCATTCCTGGGAGGACACAGAGTTGGGGTGGGTATGCAGCAGGTCAGGTGGGGGCTGCCTGGGAAGGGAGGATAAAGCAGCCTCACCTGAGGTAGCTGCCAATGTAGGCCACCACGTTGGGGTGGCGGCACTCCCGCAGGATGGTGATTTCCTGCTGGAGGGAGCTGATGTCGTCCCCTAAGGAGCATGAGATATCATGGGGGTGGGCGATGCACAGGGGTCGCCCTGACTCAGTGCCCTCATCTGCAAAATGGGCACAGAGTGCCTCCCTCCAGGCCAGACAGGTGCCAGGCGACAGGATCTCCTGGGGCATGCCTCTCTGGCATAAGTCAGCCCTCAGCCCCCCACGCCGCGTCCGCCGGCGCTCCGCCCTCTCTCTGGCGCAGAGGCCCCAGCCCCGGCCCCGGTCCTCACCTGGGTCTAGCTTGACTATCTTCACCGCGGCCAGTTCAGACGTGACCGTGTCGCGGGCCTGCAGGGGCGGAGGGGTGAAGTGGGATGAAGAGGGGGCGGGGCTGGGGGCTGGTACCCGCGGCAGGACGCGAAGCAGGCAGCCTCCTCCTGCCTCTCCCGCCGGTCCTTCCACCCGGCGCACCTTGTAGACGTCGCCATAGGTCCCGGCCCCCACGCGCTGCAGCAGCTCGAAGCGGTCCCGCGGATCCTGCAGTGACACGTCCCGCAGCAGCGCCATGGCCCGGCGCCGGGCGGGCCGGCTGGCGGGCGGGCGCGAGATGCGGAGCCGGCGGGGGACGGCGCGGGGCGGGGCGGGGCGGGCGCGGGTGGCTCTGAGGCCGCGGGGGCGGGGCTGGGGCACTGGGGCGGGGCCACATTTGTCCCGCCACCCGGCCAGGAGGAGGCGCCCGCGGGACAGGCCCAAGGCAACGCGGGGAAATCCCGAGTCCGGGGCGGAGCCTGGGTCCTGACGCCTTGCACCGCTTCCTCGTGTTCTAGAGGTTGGGAGTGCCAAGTCGGGTAAACCAGGAGGCAGAAGAAAGAGGGGATGTCCCACTTCCCGCCCCATCCTCAATTTCCCAGATGAACACACGGACATATGTTTTGCTTTCGCTTTTTTACAAAATGTATTCATCTTCCTCAGAACTGAAAAATAAATCTATGTACAAAACTGGAAGAAATCAGGCTCCCTTCACCCACTCCCAATCCCCTGCAGATTCCTCTGGGGTCCCCGAGATAAATTGAACCTCGGGGAAGTTCCTAGAGGCTCGTAAGACAGGTCCTGCTCTGATCCCAGGCAAGTCTGGCCAGGAAGAGAGCAGGTCTCAGGATTCTCACAGGCTAGGGGCGGACTTTCGTGTTATTGACGCTAGAGATAGAATGGAGAGGAAGCCAGGATTTCATAATTGTGGAGTGAGACTTAGGTTCTTTAGAATAGGGGGCTCAGATTTCTAAGGATGGAATTCTTAAGTGCGGAAGTGTACTCCTAGGGGAGTGGGGCTCTAGGTTCCAAGGCTGGAGGGGAGAACTGTGCCCCTTGGGTTAAAGGTGAAACCTCAGCCTTTACCAGGCAGGAGCAACCCCGGGCACTCCATTAAGAGGAGTCGGGAGTTTTCAGGGCCCGGACCTCTAAAAATTGGTGATCAGGGGCCTAGGGTGAACCTTCAATTGGATGGCTGGGATTCTGGGAAAGGGCCCTCGGTTCTGAGCTGGAGCCAATCGTAGGTTGGAAGGCTGGGGGCGGGTGGGGAAGCAGTAGCTAGGGTGTGCCGTCTGTATTCCGGGGACCAGAAGCCTGGGTTCTCAGTAGGAATGGGGCCTGGACCTGGGCAGGAGACCGGCCCCTAGTGCTGGGAGCGGAGCCTGGGCTAGGAGTGAGAGGACTGGGGTGGAGCCTCGATCCTGACTGAGGGCAGACCCTGAGGCTGGGTGGGCTCCAGTAGCTCAGAGGCCTTTGCGCTGCCGCTTGAGGAAAGAAAGGGTGTAGTCGCTGGGCGTGGACACTTTCTGCTTTTTCATCTGCACCTGTGATTGCGCCGTGAGTTGCAGCTTGATGGCGCTCGAGTTGATCTTGGTGGCTACCAGCAGCTCCTTCATGCCCTTCATCTTCTCACTCTGGAAAGTAAGCACTGGACCCTCCGGCGGCGGCGAAGCTGCGGGTGCTGGCACTTGAGTTGTGCTGCCGACTTCAGGGCCTCGGGCAGCACCCGAGACAGTCCCTGAGGGTTTCCGCTGGGGTGCCGACACCGCACTCTGGCCTGCACCAGGGCCCTTGTCCAGGGCTGGCTTCTTGGGTGGCGGAGGCTCCTCTGGCTTGGACTCCCGTCGCGGGCCTCGCCGCCGGCCTTCCCGGGCTTCCTCACCCCAGGGCTCCTCGGCCTCTGCCGCCTCTGCTTCGCGGCTCACTATACGAACCTTCTGCCGCACCTGGGCCATGGAGAAAGCAAGCTGAGGGAAAGGCTGCAGGCCAGTGGCTGCAATCCAGTACCCTGCTGTGGCTATCCCATCCTCTCTAGGGGGTTTCCGTCTCATCTGTACCCAAGGGGATAGACAAATGCTGTCTCTGGGCCACTAAGGCCTGTCTTTCCTGTAGCTGCTGTCACCACCTGGGGTGCCCAGCCCTCCTGTGCAGCTGCCCCTCACCTGTCCCTCAAAACGGCCTAGGGACTGCACGAGGAAAGTGGCCCAGCCCACGTGTAGCACAGGCGTGGGGCTGCCCTCCTCCCATTTGCAGATGCCATCGTAGAATCGCAGCAGGTGGGCGAAGCACTCAGGGTCCTGGAGAGCAGAACCCTGGCTCTGGGAGCCCTGGGCAAGGGGGAAGGGAGGGCACAGGTCAGAGTCCCTTACTCATCCCTAGGCTGAGGGCACAGGCCAGGCCCCAGCCTAGGCAAAGAGCCCTGGCTTGAGAAAAGGTGAACACAGGTCAGGAGCATTATCAGAACTTTTTTTTTTTTTTCTCTTGAGACAGGGTCTCACTCTGTCACCCGGGCTAGAGGGCAGTGGGTATCAGAGCTCACTGCAACCTTAACACCTGAACTCAAGGGCTCCTCCAGCCTCAGTAGCTGGGACTACAGGCATGAGCCCCAGCACCCAGCTGATTTTTCTGTTTTTTTGTAGAGACAGAGTCTCACTCTTGCCCTAGGCTCCTCCTTCTTTTATAAAGCCTGTCCTTAGCCAGGCCTGAGGGAGGGAACCATCCTCCTCCATCCCACCACTTAAACTGAGTGAGGAACCTTAGCCATGAAAGAGATGGGCTTCCACCCCGTTTACTTAAAGGGACATGGTAGAAACCACTAAATTACCCCCTGCCCCTCAAACCCAGGCCCAAGACTTCAACTACAGCAGAAGGGACTATGACTCTCTGCTTGGGGCCAGCTTCCTCATACAACCCCATTGCTGTGGCTGGGAAGCCCTGCCAGGTGGCAGGCTGGACACAGAATGGAGCACCAGCCCTTCACCTGGTTCTGGTCCCCTGGCCGCTCCTCGCCTGCCTCCAGCAAGCTGGCTGCCTCCTTCAGTAAGTTGGGGATGACATCATTGGCCACTTCGAAGAACTCCTTGTAGATCTCCTCATCTTCTCGGCAGTAGTTGTAGCTATGAGAGCAGAGGGGCAATGTAGGGTCTTGCCATGGGAGTACCCCTCAGGGATCTGGCGAGGGATGGAACCCAGGTTTCTTTTCTTGGGTCATCCCAGGGACTAGGGTAATGGTTGGAGGTTTCATTCCAAAATGATAGTTGCCCAGAGCAACAATGAGGAGGGGGCATGGGTCTAAGAGTGGAGGTCCCACTGCTGGATGACAGTAGTTAAAATTGGAAGGAGATGGGAGGGAGGGAAAGGCTTTTTTTTTTTTTACTCGCGCCCACGGGAAAGGCCTTAATCAGGAGTCCCCACCTCCTGAGTGATGGTGGTCTTGGCTGCCTAGGGAATGGGTGGAGAGGGGATGGGGCTTAAGATCCAGACCTCACTGCTGAACAAGAGTGGTTGGAAATTGGGTGGAAGGGGAAGAAATGAGAGGCTGGAAGTCCTGGTGGGGGGATCCTCACTCTTGGATGACAGTAGCTGTGTCAGCCCAGGCCTGCAGGGCTTCGCGCACATTGCGGTTGCGACAGTGGTAGCCAGCCAGGTACATGTAGGGGTAGATATGTTCATCTCGATAGTAGGTCTTGGCTGAGGCAATGCCCTAGGGGGTAAGGCAGAGGAGCCTCAGGGAGGCAGCCCCCAGCTGGCACAAATGCCCCATCAGGTAACACTCATCAGGGCAAAAAAAGAGACCAAAGAGTCTTCCCCATCTCCAATCCCACTCACACTTCTGTCCCTTCCCTGGGTCTGTAGAACTGCTTGCTGGGGCTGACTGTAAGGGTGGGGCCCATGTCCATACCAGACAAGCCTAAGGAGGGGAGGGGCAGCTCGGAGCTCTGTCCTTACCCAGGCTTTCCTACCCACTCCTCCACTCAAACACCAGACTTTCAAGTCTAGTACAGTAGCCTTTTTAGCCCCACCACCACCTAGTCAACACTCTCTCCTGAGTACTCCCACCACATGTGACCTTCTGTTATACTCCAGGAAAGAGAGTGAGGAGCAGCATCAGTGAGGAGGAGTGCTCACTGAAAATGAGGAGCTGAAGGACAAGCTAGGCCCTGCCACTTGCAGGCTGGGGAACCCAGGACACCTTTTGGGTAGCCCTGACTACACTGATTATGCACACAGTACAAGGGATATGACCCGGGGCTGGATAGGTAACATCTCCCAACATACATCATTCTTCTCTCTGCATCTGCCCCCTCCCAGTCCCCAGAGAAAGGGGACCCCAGCCCTTGTTGAGGTCTCCCTTTTGCACCCTCCTGTGATGCCCCCACCTTGTGGTAGAGGGTGAGAGGGTCCGGCCGACCAGGGGTGGGTTCCAGCTCCTCCAGATCTGCCAGGTTGCCTAGAGCCATGGGGTACCTGGGAAAAGATCGTAAGTTCAGGGTGCCACCCCGCCGTCTGGCCCCTCAAACCCAGCCTGGCCACTTTCCTCTACTGACCTTTCCAGATGTCCCAGGTCATAGAGCAACCAGAGTAGTTTCTATGAGCCAAAAGAGAGAGTTATGAGCTGAGGCTGAGGAAAGGAAGGGTCCACAGTCTATAAAGCAGAGGTGGGGACCAGAACCAATAGGAATCTCCCACTAAGTTTGAAGGGTCAAAATTCAGGAACTAGCCCTTTCACATCTCAGTTCCACTCTCCCAATAGCTCTGGGAAAGACCAGGTCAGGAATTACTAAACCATATTAACAAAGGGAAATATGAAGCTCAGGAAAGGAATGTGCCCCTGTCCCAGGTCCCATAGCAAGTCTAGTCAGCAGCCTGGCCTGGCCCACTCCTACCCCACAGGCACAGCCCTTACCTGCTGCAGCTGCAACAGCTCCAGGGAGTCAGTGTGCAGATCAATGGAAGGGTTGATGGCACACACCATAAATGCCACTTCCATCTTGCGGTCACAGCGCATGTATGATCCTTTCAGGTACAGCCAGCTCTTATGAGGGGACAAGACCAAATGTCTCATGATGGCCTACCCTGTGCCTGCTTCGGGGAATGACAGCTAGGAAAGGGGCTTTTCTGTCTTCCCTTCTGGATGTATGAAGGTGGTGATGGGGAGAGGAAAGTAAGGCTCAAGAAAATAAAGCCCTTTGGCTCGGCACCTATAGCTCAACCGGCTAATGCGCCAGCCACGTACACCTAAGGTGGCAGGTTCGAATCCCCAGCCCGGACCCGCCAAACAACAATGACGGCTGCAACCAAAAAATAGCCGGG